AGCACACAGATCTGATGTAATAGCTCTACTTTAAAAAACAGAAAAGCAGCAGAAATCCTAACTTGTGTAAATGTGGCTGGAGCCAGTGTGTACAAAGAGGATTAGTAAGCCCTAGACCGGAGCCAATTCAGTACCAGCATTGTCCTTGTGAGCCAGTGTGACAGCACCTTGTCACTTCTGCTGCCTCCTGTATGCTTTGGCAAACTTGCAACAGAACCATGCACCTCTCTGCTTCCATGACCATACTGTGAGCAGCCCCAAGGGGTTATGTGGAGCTCTTCCACTTTTCCATAGGGACTAAGCTGTCCTCAGTATTGGCCCTACCCATGACAATGCTTTAGTATTTTGCTGTTCTGTGCTTCAATGAACATGGAACTAGAAAATTCAGCGTTGTTGTGGATTTACAGTTCAGTAACTACACATCAGAAAGGTTCTATCGTAGTTCACCCAAATGCAAATGCACACACTTTTTTCTTTAATATTATCTTTAATATTAACAGTTTTACAATGTTGTGGGCAAAATAGTTTTTGTCACAAACGATCTAACAATGAGTCACCAGTGGAAAAAATGTTATTTTTAAGTCTTTTGAGTTTCTCATTTAGTTTTTTAAAGCCAACAAGCCTGATTCTCACTTACACTACAGACCCTTTATACTGCTCTGACATTGTAAAGGAGCCTTAAAGTGAGTGTAACTTTAATTTGTCACAGCAGTGTAAAGGGGAGTTGGTATAAATGAGAATTGGGGCCGACATTACTAATAGATCACGGCTTCCTCCCCCAACATCGCAGTAAGAATTTTGGATTTGTACATTTGGTTTCTATAATGTGTTTGCCGGATCCTTATTAAGGGTACTTAGATGTTCTCAAGTATTATTTTTAACAATTTTGTCCCATTAACAGAAATGAATCCCAGAAATAAAACCACTTCATGCCAGCACTCAGTACAGTTAGGGTTGCCACCCATCCTGAAATTCTGAGTAACAGAATCAGCTTTAGAGACGTAATCCATAGGAAGGTTTCCAAGTGCCATCAAGACCCCTTATTCCCCTCTCTGAATACAGTCTTTTGTAGAAAATCATCTTGGATAAGCATGCTCCAGTCTACCTCCTTGGAGTGCTATTGTCTTTCCAGTGCCTCAAAATGGCTTTGTCACACTTATCAACCAAATTGTTTTCTTTGCAGCTAGTGCTACTGCTATCTAATATCAGAAGTACCAAATTAATGAAGCTGGTGCAGCCAAAACATTTGATTTAAGGATACATTTTTTTTTCAACAGCATTGCCCCAAAGCACCCTCAACACCTATGAATTAAATCCATCTTTTGATCATAATACCCCCAACGTACATATGACAGACTTAATATCAGGGATGCAAATAAGGTCTTATCACTTGTGAGGCATCATTTCAAAAGCTGGTCAACTGACTAACATTACTGTAGACAAAAAAGAGAGATGTCTGGGAAGCTTCTTATTTCCATAAGTCTGTGCTATCCCACTCGTCTGTGTATGTTATTCAGTATCTATCTGTCTCTTACTTTTCTAACATATCAATTTGTAGTATCTAGGCTAGGTCCTAGATCTATATAATTTTTGTACTATTAGGAACAGATTGTGTGCAATTCATCTGTGGCTGTGGATGGGGTGTTGTATTACCCCTTTAGAAGGAATATACGGGGCCAAAGGGCTAAAGGCATTAACTTGACCCTGAAACTTTCTGACATTTAACAGTTTTAAGCAAGATTCAGGGTTTGATATATAGCAAGGGGGCTGACAGAATTGCCTGGTACCTGGGCCAGGTGTGTGTGTGTTTTTTGGGGGGAGGGGGCTGGCTCCCTACTCCTGGAAGGGGCGGGGCCTTGGAGAGAAGAGGTGGGGCTAGCACTAGCCTTCCCCCTGCCACCACCCATTTCAGTGGCCGGGGCTCTATACTAGAGCATGCCTGCAGGGCTTTGGTGACAATTTAGAGGACCTGGAGCTCCAGCCACTGCTGCTGTTGCAGTAGCAGCACCCAGGAGCCCTGGGCTCTTTTGAATCACCGGCCTCGAGGCAGACCTATTGACCTATTGCTCCTCCCCCTCCCATCAGCGGGCCTGGAGTATACAGAGACCTAAGCCTGTTTAGTACCATGGCAAACACACTATTAAAAATCCTTGTAATCAGTTATTAAAGATACATTTAAAACAACATTTAGCCAGGCTTTTATTTTAATACCATTTCATGTTCCCTTTCTCTTTAGCTGGAGAGAGATTTTAGAAAGAAACCCTCTGTTTGACAGCCTTGCAGATGGTGATAACTGTCCTTTTGGGGAAAAGAGAAGAAGTTAGTTAAGTTGGGTAGGAGCTGTCATTGTTAAAGTTAAATCCAATTTCAGAAAAGTCAAAACCAGAAAAACACACACAAAAGGCGAAAGAAAAGAACAGCAAAGATAAGTGTTCTCTAGGGGTTGACTTTCACTTGCAACCACACTGCTGGAAAAATACAGGCACAGCACACACAGCCTTATCTACCACTCTAAGTCTATGTCTACACTCGCGGCTTCTTGTGCAAGTAATATGCAAATGAGGCTAAGCGTGGACTATCGCCAAGCTTCATTTGCATACCTAACGAGCCACCATTTTTTTCAGAAGAGGCTCTTGTGCAAGAAGGAGGGTCTACACTGCCCTTTCTTGCACAAGAAAAACCCTCTTGCTCAATGCCGTTTCACCTATTACTTTTCAGGAAGAACGGCATTGCACAAGAGGGTTTTTCTTGCACAAGAAGGAGCAGTGTAGACACTCCTTCTTGAGCAAGAGCCTCTTCTGAAAAAATGGTGGCTCATTAGGTATGTAAATGAGTCTCGGCAATATTCCACGCTTAGCCTCATTTGCATATTACTCGTGCAAGAAGCCGCGAGTGTAGACATAGCTTAAGACTTGGCAACTTGGTACCAGTGGTTAGCGTATTGCATTTAGCTGCCTTTTTGGTCCCAAGCTTACAGCAGTGTTGCAAACATGCAGTGTTGGACATTCAAGTCATACTCTTCCTATACAAAAGGAAAAGGAGAGAGCTAGAAAAGTGAAAAAATAAGATGGGGAAGGAAAATGACTCATGGCAGAGACACGTTTCACCCCTTCTATCTGTTTCTTTTTCTTTCCCTTCATGTATCTGTAATGGATTGGAGGAGTGATGGCCTTTTCTGAACATCCTAGCATTTGGTGACTGAATGGTTAAACTCAGGTAAATAGGGAGTGTTGGGAGGGAGCCAGGGGTTCCAATGGGAGAAGGTATTGAGATTTGAATTCAAAGATATACCTGCCTGCTGTTTTATTTTGTGTGAGTTTTAAGCCAGGAGTTGGGGGAACAAGGTGAACTGAATCAGGCAGAATTACCATGACTACCAAGAATACCAGGCATGGAAATGGACTGGACCTTGAAGCATGGATATGTGAGTAGATAGGGAATGGAATGTCTATTTAGACGTGATCAGGTTATTTTCTTTGTTTTGTTGTTTGGTTAAACTTCTCTGTGCTGAATCCATGTGCCTTCCCCCTCCCTCCCATACACTGTACTTAAAGCTGTATCCCACGGGTGGAATTTCTCTGTGTTTTTAAATTGTTTTTTTCTCAGTTGATTTTAAAACACCTAACAACCAAGTATGCTCTATCAAGCATATCTTTGTGTTTTGTTAATAAAATCACCTTTTTTAAGGTGACAATTTGATTCTTGTGTTTTGGAAGGTAAGAGGAGGTCTTTATATGTATGTCTAAGACTGAGAGGTCAGCTATCAGAAATTACAGTTTGTTTCCTCTTTTTTCCAGGTTCTCTGGTGGTTCTTCCCCTCTGGAAGAAGTTCCAAGTGCTTTCTTCCTGGGTTCAAGATGAAAGGGTTTTTTTGTTTCACTTGGCGGTGGCAGCTACTTCCCAAGGCCAGGGAATCTGTGACCTTGGGGAGCTTTAAGCAGAGCCTATAGAGGCAAGGTATTTTAAAGTCTCTTGGGGGCCCCCACCTTCTGCACTCAGAGTGCCATAGTGGGGGAACAGCCTGAACAGCAGCCAATGAAGTGAGCTTCTGCCTAGGAAAGGTTATGCCATAGTAAAATCTTTAGTCTTTAAGGTGCCACCGGATTACTTGTTGTTTTTGCTGAAACAGGCTAACACAAATATCTCTGAAACTGTCATTAGATTCAGCCAGAGTCAGTAAAAGTGATGATGTGATCTTGGCTCCTCTCTCTGTCCTGGATTGATCAGGGCACCTCTCAGGATTAGAATGACGACAGTCTGAGGTCCCAGGAGATGGTGAGGTGGCAGCCATGATGATAAAGTTGTTTGCTACTTCCTCTTCTCTCATCTTTCAGTCAGCGGAATCATAGTATGCAGCTTTACATCCCAAAGTGTGTGTGTTTAAGGTTACCAAAAGGGAGGGAGAGTTGGAATAACCTGCCTTTTCATTATTTTGTCCAATTAGGCCTAATTTCCAATGGTTAATTTCCAGTATCACATAGTTCTTGTTTACCAGGCATGCTCTTACCACAATCCTTGAGTTATATCTTTAAGCTTTTTTGTTTGGACTAGTTCCATAATTTGGTATCTTTTTGTACTTTCCCCATTTAACATTTGTTACAAGTGGTTATGATATTTTATAAACTTTCATTCATATTGAGTTCACAGGGTAAATGTGGAGGCCCAGTTATTACAACAGAGGACACCAAGAAATTTCTCCCCATTGTGTGGCAGTGTTAGAATGATAGAGGGAATGCTTGCTCGTTGCTGGGTAACAGGAGTCTGAAAATGAGGCATGGCCAAAAGTTGCCTTCTCTACACACCCATGGAGTGAGGTTGTTGCACTGTTGTTCATCTTCCATGATGGTGATCATGAATGGGGCAGCTCTGAGAGAAATTATGATTCGCAATGTATCTGGGGAAATCACATCACCCCCCCACTGCCCCTTAAAATATGATTATTAATAATAATCTACATGGCACCATCATTGTCTATGACACTTTACAGACATGGAAGGAGACTGTTTCTCTGTCCAAAGACTCCACAGTCTAAACAGATTTAATGCAGTCCAGAAGAGATACAACATAAAAAGTAAAGCGAGTGATTAATTTCTTTCAATACATGTTCGTTACAAGAATTTTTAGAGAGGCCAGAGAGCAAAGCCTGCACTAGGGATAAGCAGACTAAGCTATTGCTTAGGGTCCTTCTGAGCAGCTAACTGGGGTCCCTATTTCAGTTTTTGTTGTCGTTGTTTATTATAAACTTAGACTTTTGTTGTACATATTGTATGGGGGAGCAAGCAAAAATACTCCTCCTTAGGGACTCCAATGGGCTAGCACTGCCTCTGCCAGGGAGTTATTTGTAACATGCAGTGTGAATTAAAATAAAAGATAAGATGAGGGCTGAGGTATATGGAGGATTAGTGCCTAAAAGCTGGCTGAAAGGAGTGATGTTTTAGGAGGCACCTGAAAGAAGAGTGTGAGGTTGCTAGTGTACTAAGAGGCTACTCCAGATATAGGAATGCTTAACGGAATGGGAGTAGGGCCAGAGAAAACAAAGGTGAGGGGAGAGTTTGGCCTGGGGAGGTCTTGGGGTGTAGAGAGTGATGGGAGTAAAATAGTAGCTAAATACAACATTGGCTTCTAACACCAGTTTTCCAAAACAAAATTACAAAGGTAAATTCTAAACATGAGTTTATTTCTGTGATGTTCCAGTGATTTATGAATTAGGTTGCAGAGTCTCTGTTGCTGAGATCAATTCAACGTGCTTTGTAGAATTATTTGACCAGAGATAATTGTAGATTGTAAAACACTGCAGGTGACTTAAAAAACAACAACAGACATCTAGTTGCTCTTGAAGTTTTTCAGTATCTACCTCTTCATTCTTTTACCTTTTAGAAGTTTTGATAAGTGTTTCTGCACCTGCACTTTCCATATTGGTAGAGAAGGAACAACAGCGTTACATCAAAGATGAACAGGCCAGCAGCAAAGTCAAATCCTAGGAATGTATCTTTGAGGAAAAATAGTAAAGAAGAAATATGCATGTTAGGAAGATGTATCAATATATGTCTACTTAGAGATCCAGACCAGAGTCTGAATTTTAAGTATTCTGCATTAAAGTATTTTGTGGCTGAATTTTGATTATCTTTCTGGTAAATGTATGTGTTTCAGTACATTAATACATATACTATTTGTGTATATATATATATACCCAATCCTGGAAACACTGGTGTATATAACATCATGCATGTGAGTAGTTCTCATTCATGACCAGAAGTGTTCACAGGGTCAGAGCCATATGCCATGGGGTGTTGCCAATGGGAGGTGTGTGTGAGGTGGTCAGCAAAACTCAGTATGGGTGAGAAGGAGGCATGGCCAGGAATGTTGGAAGATGATTCTGTTAATGTCCCTTGGGTGTCTCAATTGGAAACTTATATGGGCCTTATAAAGTTGTGGCTATGTATTAAAGCTGCAGAGAAAAAGCGCCGGAGTATTGTTGCCTTCCTTTCTTTTGGATGACTCTCCCCTTTGCATATAAGGGAGCTCCTGGGCACAAGGCAGTGTAATTTATATCTCCCTTCCCCTTTAGTGATGAATGTGGCCCGTCGCCTTTAGTTGAAGGTCAATCTATTATTTTAAAGCATCATGTCACTTACAAGTGGGCAGCCATTCCTGCAGTTACTGCTTAAATGCTACATGCAAACAAAACATTTTGTTTCTCTTTTTGGGGCTTGGATAAAGAGCCTCTTCCACACACCCCCAACCCGCTGCTTAAACCTGATTGGCAGGGGATGGAGAGTGCCACTCCAGAACAAGGACACAGAATTAATTAGAGCACCTGGGAAGGTTTAAACCAGTGGGAGTGAAGGAAGGGCAAGGAATAGTCCCAGGAGGATCTGGGAAGAGAGCAACAGAAGCAGCAGCCCTGAGCTGGGGCAGAGACAGTGTCTGAACTACGAAGCTGCTTGGAGGAACGCCATCTGCTGCACTGGCACTTTCAAAGGGAATTCTTACCGTAGCCAACAGGACAGCTGGGACCACACCACAAGGCCCACCAATTTGTGCTCATAGTGCATGCCAGCACCTAATGAGAAGGCAGGTTGGCTCTGCACCCGCAGAAAAGGGGGTGGAGGGCAGAGTCCCTTCCAGCCAACAGAGCCCATTGTACCTTCGGCATTGGCAGCGCTGGACCACTTGAAGGTAGAGCCAAGTCAGAGGAGTGCATCCTCCATCCTGATGATGGTGGATCACTTCACTAAATTCCTGAGGGAGGTCAAAGCCTCAGCTACCACAGAAACCTTCTGGCACTACTTTGTCCTCTCTATGGTACCTCACCAAAGTGCTCACAGCCTTAGGCATGCCCTTTGAGCCACAAGATGTTCATGGAATTGTGCTCTCTGTATGGCAGCTGTAAGCTAAGGACGGCAGCCTAACACCCACAAGGCAGTGGCCTCTGTGAGTGAGCCAGCCAGATGCTCCTCGCAGGGATGTAGCAGAGACACTGGACTTCCTACTTGCCAGAGCTACCCTATCTGTATATCAGCATGCTGCATACACCCATGCAGTACACCACTTCCTTATGTTTGGCACAATTGGGCAGCTGCCAATACATATGGGCATCCAACCAGAGACATCAGAATGAGCATCATCACCACCTCTGAGAGGCAGGTTGGCTTGTTGCCCGTAGCCTGAGCCAAGCCTGAGACTGACAGAAACAAGCTTTAAAAGGCATGGTGCTGCTGGGCCATTGGAGGGTCCTCCTCAAGTAACAGAGGTGCTCCAAACTGGATGCATCCTGGAACCTGAAACAGTGCATCGTCTGTGGGAGCCAATGCCCCAAATGGCCCCAGAATAGAAGATCTGAGAAGTCTGCAGAAGGTGGACCATTGGCATGAACCCAACCCATCAAACTGAATAGGGGAAGCAGGCAGGGCTGGAAGGAGTCTCTGAGTTTCCCGTTGGTGGGGTGGCTAACATGGGGGGATCCTCACTGGAAGCACCCAACCCTGGTCCTGGCTTTGAGGCAAGGGAAAAGTAGAATGAGATGGGGTATCTTAGGGAAGAGGCCAGTGGCGCTGGAACAATATTTGTTGCGGGGGTGATGAAGGCACCATGCATTGGGATTGTTATTACCTCTCCAAGCACCTGCAGCGCCCCCAGTCCCAGCACCTATGGAAGAGGCACCAAACTCTCGCCCTATGGCAGAGGAGGAGCAGAACAGGGAGGTAGGAGCACAGTGACATTCTCAACGACTGAATGAGGTTTTCCCCCTTCCCAAGTCTGTAATTCTGAGCCTGGCCAAGCTACAGAGAATACCTGGCACCTGGGAATAGATATGTTTACATGGTGACAGGTATGGAACTGGCTAAAGAGCCCTTTCCCTTTCCTTTATTGCCTCTTTTTCTCTTCCCTGCCACTCTTCTTAAACCTGATTGGCTGTGGGAAAAGAGAGTGCCACTGCTAAACAAGGACACAGTATTAACTACAGGCCACCTGGAAGGCTTTGAACCAGTGAGTAGGCGGTGATGGAATGGGGAGAAATAAGCTGGGGCAGATTTGTGGAGAGAACAGTAGCTACCAAAAGCAGCAAGACTGAGCTGGGGCAGAGACAGAAACTGAAATAGACAGCGGCATGCAGGTGAGCCTTTGGTAATAACCGACTTATAATATGTGAACAGAGGTCCCAGGTTCAGTTGCACCCTAGCTGACTTATAGTACATGCACAGAGGTCCCAGGTTCAGTTGCACCCTCAGATGACCAGATGTCTGTTAGTATTACACTTGCACAGGGGACTCTTAGAGTATGTCTACATAGCAAGGCTAACGCTGAAATAAACTGCGCAACTTGAGCTAGGTCAATTGTGTAACTTAAATCAAAATATCTTATTTTGGCTTTGGCGTTTTCTACACAGCAGGAAGTCTGAGGTAAAGCACTCTTCCTCCAACTTCCCTTACTTCTTGTAAAGTGAGGTTTACAGGAGTCAGAGTAAGAAGTCCTCCAGCTCGACATTATTTCGACATTATGTTAAAGTAACTGCTTGTAGCGTAGATGCGGACTAAGTTATTTCAGACTAAAGTCAGTTATTCCAAAATAACACTGCTGTGTAGACGTACCCTTACAGACACACAGCCTGGACTTGACAGGATAGCTGACACCACACAGCAACCTGTGCCAGTTTGAACTCACAATCCACATCAGCCCAGAATGCGTGAGCAGGTTGAACTGAGCCAGGGGTGGGGAGGCTGCATGAGTGTGGGGTAGAAAGTCTACGTGTGTTTAGCCAGTGATGGGGAGGGGGGTCTCTCTATCAAGGTGAGGAAGTCAGTGTTGTCTTCAGCCTTGGGTCTACATCTGGCTTTTCCTGTGTTAGGTAAGTCTTGTGTTCTGTTGTTAAACATGGTGCTTGATCCTGGTGTGAACTCCGACCCTAGTGGGCAGGGAATTGATGTTTGTGCAGAGGTGTGTGGCCGGGACCTGTTTCCTCAGCCCTGGGAATCCCTCACCTGACACTTGGCACATTCTTTTGACCAGTCTTTCACTATGACAGGAGAGACCAACTTAGTAAACTTCGCAAGAGGACAAGGAGACGTGCAGCCTGGCAGCCTGAGTGGATATGGATCCCTGGAGGAGTCATTCCGATAGTACATTTCAATGCTGTAGTCCCTGGTTTATAGAGCCCGGAAGAAAGAGAAAGATTAGATCTTTAGCTCTGAGACTTCCTGTGCAGAGACACAGCCCTCTGCAATTTACAGTCTTTGTTAACAGAAATTACTGTTAACCAAATTCTTCGAGATTAGAGCTCTTGGCAAAGACATCCAATGCTCAATGATCCTTAGAACTGTCATGTCTCTGCTAAAATCACAGGTCATGTCAGCAAGCCCTTTTAAAATCTTTAAATGAAAACAGGAGCAGATCCTATATAAGGATGTTGTTTGATTGGAATATGTTTTAAGGGGTGCCTAGACAAATTATCATTACCACTTAGGGAAACACTCACTTAAGTCCCACCACTAACCCTAATTCTCTCTCTCTCTCTCACACACATATGCACACACAGTCTGATTTTGTGATTTGTCTCAATTATTGGTGTTGAATGCATTTAAATGCAACATTATAAATATGAACTGATCAGCAATGTGCACTCTAATCTTTTCCATCAAGGCACAGAATATTTTTTTATGTGCACCAAGCTATGTGTCAGTGTGCATCACAGGTATGTCTAAACTACATCCCTCTGTCGAAAGAAGGATGTAAATTAGGCAGATTGAAACTGCAAATGAGGAGTACGGGATCTTTCAAAAAAGGTTTTTTTTTTTTCAAAAGAACCGTTTCTAGATGGCGGTTTCACTTTCGACATATCCTTTTTTGAAAGACCACTGTGACGTGATTATGCAAATGAAGTGTGGGACATTTAACTCCACGCTTCATTTGCACTTTCGATCTGCCTAATTTACATTCCTCTTTCGAAAGAGGGGTGTAGTCTAGACATAGCCCACTAGTAGAAACAAAAAACCTAGCTGTGGGCATTCTGCTAATTAGCTGGGCAGCATTTGAATCTCTCTTGAGGGGCTGCACAAGTACCAGTCTTACAGGGAACATTGCTGCTCTGTAAAATTCTCATTTAAAACACAATTACATTTCATGAGGATGCTTTTCTCTCAAAATCGTCTAGGGCATTACTGAATTGATATCTGAAAGCAAAACACATTTGGTTGCTGCAAATGTGTCAAGATACGTACCCACTCTTTTCTTGGTAGAGCTCAAAAAACTGGCAAGTACTATAAGGTGGCAGTTTTCCATTGAAAATATTGAGCGCCATCTGTAGGGCACCAATTGTGGTGTCATGCTATAAAAAAAAATACTCCCATGTAATACAGTAGTTACTTTTAAGTGGGGTTGTGCTGTCGCAACCTCCAACAACCTTTTTTAGTTCTAGGATGGGATATTAAAGTAAAACTCTGGTTGTAGCCTTTGTTTTTAATAGCATTTATTTTATTTTGCTTCCTTTTGCAGGAAAACCCTTGGGAGGGTGTTGAAAGGGAGGACGAGGGAATCCCTCTTTCCCCAGAGTAAGTCCCTTGTCTGTATGTTTACTGAGCTTATTTATATACCATTCTAATGGCTGTATTTTAATCACTATACAGTGTCTAGAACTATAGATATGTTATACATTGCAACAAATAAATAAATTAACACTGAAAAATAGAGCTCTCATTGCCTCGTTGCACCAGCAGCACAAAGTGATGGTCAAAATGGCTTAACCTAGGGGACTCTCCAGGTGACATACAATGAGCAGAGCCAGCTCATGTATAGATTATACATAGGAGGTGTGTTTGGAGTGCTGCTGTACTCCAATGAGCCCCTGCTGGCAGAACAGCACCTTGGTGGCTTTATTGCAGCACGATGCCTTTTAGAGAAACCCTGAAGTTGCTCTGTGGTGCAGTAGGGGCCAAATCTTAGAATGGGGATTAGTGGGGAGTAAGGCTGCCTTTGCCAAGCACAGGTTGATGAGCAAATCCTATGGTTATTTTTGTTGTACATGTTGCAAAAACACATAATTCAATGTACTAAATCCAATTGCATTGTATCTCAGAGTATGTCTACACTTGCACCCTAGTTTGAACTAGGGATGCAAATGTAGGCATTCGAAATAGTCAATGAAGCGGGGATTTAAATATCCTGTGCTTCATTAGCATGATCTCGCCAGCGCGTTACTCTGATCAACAGCTGTTTCGAAAGTGAAAGTGCGCACCATGACGTGTTAGTTCGAAACAAACCTCTTGGTTCGAACTAACGTTACTCCTCATTTTTTGGAGTAACTAACATTATTCTCTAATTTTTTGAGGAGTAATGTTAGTTTGAGCCAAGAGGTTTAGTTCGAACTAATGCATCCCAGCGCGCACTTGCACTTTAGAAACAGCTGTTGATCAGAGTAACGCGCTGGCGAGATCATGCTAATGAAGCACAGGATATTTAAATCCCCGCTTCATTGACTATTTCGAATGCCTACATTTGCATCCCTCGTTCGAACTAGGGTGCAAGTGTAGACATACCCTTACTGCTTTTCTTAATTTGTAGAAGAAACGTGATCTTTCTCTTTTAAGACTGAACAGTTGTTGAATCAAAATACATTGGCAACATTGCTTGCAATTCTTCTTCTGCATTTGCTCCCAGGACATGTCAAGTTAAACCCTTTCTGTTGAATTCCCAGTCGTAAACATATCAACCCTACATTTGGGAAAAACAAAGATACTCACTGCAGAAAAGAGATTCATTTTCCTCTTGTTTGATGGTTTCGTAGCTTTTTGAATGTTTTTTAGAATAGCATTCACCAGGATACCTTAAAGAAGATAAGGGAAGACTGATTAAGATGTTAATGAATAAAGTATTTTCGGACAGAAGCCCAAATGCAGAGATCCCAGATATTAAACAGGAGGACCTGTTCATGAATGTGCAACAGTAATTCATTTTTAGTGGACATGGAATTGAGAGCTTGACAGTGGATGCTACATAAATGGGGGGAAAATTAATCCCAGAAAATTTTGAGAAACAGGAGCATTAAAAACTAGGCTAGAA